AAAAAAAAAAAAAAGAGGAAAAGATGAAAGATAGGGGGTGGGGGCTGAAATTCTGGGACTGTTTTGGAGACTTCCCATTAGAAGGCTGAGAAGAGAAAGGTGGTTACCCAGGTAGGGGTGACCGGGGGCAGAGCAGACAGCAAGCAGCCAGCCCAGGTCTGAGACTGCGCCAGGGCTCTGGGCTGGTTCCAGAGGGGCTGTTGATAGATCTTTCCCCCAGGTACTGCTACTACAGTTATGTGGCCTGGAGGCTGAGAACCTGACTCCACAGGCTGTTTGGTTTCATATTTTAGCTCAATCACCTACTTGCTGTGTTCCTGTGAGCAAGCAGCTTAACCACTCTGGGCTTGAGTAAGTGAAGGGTGAAAATTGTGTGATGATGATTAGGATGAAGATAATGGTGATATAAAATCACTCCTGTATGCCCCCTTCTATAGATTGAGCATGCACAAGGAGTTAGGATTGAGGCCCTGGAGAAGGGAAACATCCATCAACACTGCACCGACACCACTGCCCTTGCTGGCCTGGTCTGTAGGTCCAAGAGCATGCTCTGTCACAGCAGGAGTCAATAAAAAGACTGGAGCAGTTGGGGGGTAGTGACACATGCCTGTAATCCCAGCACTGAGCCAGGCTGAGTCAAGAGAATTGCAAGTTCGAGTCCCACCAAGGAAACTGATCGAGACTCTATCTCAAAAAATTAAAAAGGGCTGGGAATGTAGCTCAGTGTGAAAGCCCTGGGATCAATTCCCAGTGCTGCAAAAACAAAACAATAAAGAAACTGCTCGTTTTACCACAGATCTTTTTTTGCCCTCTCTCTGCTTGTCTGTCCTCCGTCGTGCCTCACATCCCTCCCCGGGCCGGCGCCTCTCCCTCACCCCACCCTGGGCACCTCCAGCGCCTTCATTAGCCAGAGCTGCCTCCAGCATCTCTGCCCCCGCGTCGCACCAAGGCGCATGCGCCGTCAGCGCCCCGCCCTCCACCCCCATCCCCCTCCGGCGTCTGGGCCGCGTCCCCTTCTCTCTGTCTCTCTGTCTCCCTTTCCTCCCCTGACGGGTCCCCCGACACCGACCCCCCATTACTCCCGCGGTCTCCTCAGTCTCAGCCTCGGTCTCCAACCCAGTCCAGCCGAGGTAAGATGGGAAGAGGGGAGGCCCCTGAGAAGGGGAGGGGCGAAGCATCCTGCATCCCGAGATAAACAAACCCCGGGAGGGGGCGGCCAGGACTGAGGGGCCTGACGCTGGAGAAGAATGGGGTGCTGGGCCTGGGGGAGGTGGCAAGCGCTAGCCACCTATCAGGGGTCCCTGTGATGGGTAGCTGGGGTCCCTGTGGTTGTCCAAGATCCATAGCTGGGAAGGGGGGCCACTTGGCGCTGGGAGCGTCTAGGGCCTCCGACCCCGAGCCTGTGGGGCACCCTGTCTAGCAGACCTCTGCCTCCAGGGTTTGCCAGCCAGGCCATCCCCACCTCTGCACCCCCCCCCCCACAAGGCCACCGAGGATCATGACTAAGACAGATCCTGCCCCGATGGCCCCTCCGCCCCGAGGGGAGCAGGAAGAAGAGGAGGAAGAGGATGAACCTGTCCCAGAAGCCCCCAGCCCCACCCAGGAGCGGCGACAGAAGCCTGTTGTGCACCCCTCCGCACCTGCCCCCCTCCCTAAGGACTACGGTAACCACTGTTCCCATCCTGAAATCTGGCCTGGAAACTTGAGTGGCCAGGGAGGGTGGGCTGAGCTCTGCTGGTGGTAATGGTCGGGGGATTGAGAAGGCAATCCAGAGGAGTCTTGGCTACAGAACCTTTCATTTATTTCGTTCACTCATTGGAGAGTGAAATTGAAATAATCCTAATCTTTGATTCATGACGTATCAGTCATTTAGTTATTCAACAGACATTTCTTGGACTCTACTGTGGACCTTTATAGTAGGAGTGGGGTCCTCAGCAGCAGAGCAATACAGGTGTAGTCTTCGAGAGAACTCACAGGTCTAAGTAACAACCACACCAGTAAGTATACAATATAAATATATAATTCCAGGACATTATAAAAATTGCATTTATCAAGGGCTGGGGATTTAGCTCAGTGGATCTGCTGCCTGCCTCCCAAGCGCAAGGACCCGAGTTCGATGCCCAGTACCAAAAAGAAAAAAAAAAAGAATTGTATTTATCAAGAACAAGATGCTTCAAGAGCTCTTACAGACATGGTTTTCCTTAGGAGGTAATGTTTGGGGGAGATCTGAGAGCAAATTGGGATTCATTGAGGGAAGAGTCAGGAAAGGGCGTCCTGGGAGAGATGACTACAGGAGTAAGGGATGCTTTTCTTTGTTTGTTTGTTTGTTTTTGGTACTGGGGATCGAACTTGGGTCCTAGCGCTTGAGCAGCAGGCAGCAAAACCACTGAGCTAAATCCTCGGCCCCAGGAGTAAGGGATGTGAGGAAGGAGCTGAAGGCAGTCTCTTGGAGAAACTGGAAGTGTCTATACATTTATCAAGCAATTTTATGGAATGCTGTTAGGCTGTGCCAAGCTCTATGCTGGGTGATGGGAAGTTAAATGAGCCATCCAGGCACTATCCCTGTGCTCAAGAGAGGAGAGACTAAATAAATGAATAGATAAATAAATCAGATGAGTTTAGATTGGAGTGAGTGCTGTGGAAAAAAGAAAGGGTAGAGATACAGTAATAATGGCTGTGGGGCCTCCTACTTGAGATAAAATAGTCAGGTGGGTCTTCTTGATGAGATGGCATTTAAGCCGAGACCCAAAACATGAAGAGGAATCAGCCACAGGACTGCTGGAGAAAGAGTGTTCTAGGCAGAAAATGGGAAGTACAAAGGACCTGAGGCAGAACTGAGCTTGGAACAGATAAACTGTGGAGCTACTTTTAGGAAGTGATCAGAGCTGGGGTGGGAATTGGCATGGGCCAGACCTAAAAGGGCCTTGAAGACCACACCGAGGATTTTGAATATATTCTAAGTCTGACAGGGAGAAAAGTGTGTGTGTGTGTGTGTCCCCAGCAGCTGTAAGATTTAGAAACACACTAGGTCAGTTGGCATCACGAGGAAGGGAAAGAGAGATGCCATCTGTGGGTGTGTCATCCACTAGAGGGGGATCAGGAGATAAGTTCATTTCAATATGATAAAAAACTAAGAAAATTATTTGGGGTGTATGTGTGTGTGTCCATGTGCCCACCCCAGGAAATTGGAAAATCCTCTTTGGAACTGTGGCTGGGGCCTGAGGCCCAGTGGAAAATCAGAAGGTCTGTCCTACTTATAGGGGGCAGGGGTTGTTCACAGAATGGGAAGGAATCGGGAAATGTGCTCTAGGCCAGAGAGAAGGCTAGGGTGGACTCAAAGAGGAAATCATGTGTGCTCATTTTATTTGTACATTAATTCAGCAGAGATTAACTAAGCACTTACTGCATGGGGCTGCTGTGCCCACCCTGTGTGGGAATAAGGGAGTGAACAAAGCAAAATAGAAAATTTTTCCACCCCAGTGAGTGTGATAGGTGAGAAGGAAAAAAAAAACAAAAGGAGGGAAGAGGAGGAAGAGAAGGAGGGAGAAAGGAAGAGAGGAAGGCATAAACACATTGCCTCAAGTAGTGACGTGTTGTGATAAGAAAATTGAAACAGGTAGGAATGGGGAAGAGCAGGGCTGCTGGTTGCAATGGGGCAGTCTGGGGAGGCCTTGTCTGAAGAGGTGGCATTTGAGCCAGGACCTGCAAAGCCATGTGAATATCTCATGCTAGTGTCCAGGTGGGAAAACAGCAAGTGCAGTGAGACAGGACTTTGCCTGGCACATGGGAAGGACAGAAGGAGGCCAGTGCGTCTGGAGGGGAGGAGGGAGAGGGAGAGTGCAGAGTAGTGAGGGGATAGGTTGTGCAGGGCAGGGCCTGGTGTGCCACGGTGAGGACTCTGGCCTGTTCTCTGAGCAGGACAGGAGCCAGGGGAGGGCTCTGAGCCAAGGAGGGCTGTGACGTGAATGGGCTTTGAAAAGGAGCATGCGGGCTTATTCTAGAGACATCTTCCATGTGGCAGTCCCCTGAGCTGTGTGTGATCTAGTCATTCATTTGCTCACTCACTCAGCACACACAGTTCCTGCACGTTGCCACAGGGAGCAACATGCATCAGTCTGGGGGTGTGGGCGTGGGTAGAAGTGCCTCCAGGTGGTCACAGGTTGGATCCTGGTCCTTCATGGGTGCATTGTATATGGACTGTACAATATTTGAAAAAACAAAACCTGAGAATTTATTTATTGCAGTACTGGGGATTGAACCCAGGGTCTTTTGCACTGAACTACATCCCTAGGTGCCACTACATCCCCTTTTAAGTTTTTGAGACAGGATCTTGCTCAGTTGCCCAGGCTGGGCTGGACTTTGTGATCCTCTTGCCTCAGCCTCCCAAAGTGGTGGAATTACAGGCACCACACCCAGCTTAGAATTTTCATAAAGACCTGGACTTCTGGCTCCCCTTGCTCTCCCCTGGAAATCTGGCTAAACTGTCCATACTCTGACAGGGAAATAGCCAGCGCAGCCAGGAACACTGGTCATATAGATTTTTATGTGATTCTGAAATCTGTACACAGGAAATGCTGACTATACCCCCTGTGCCACCAGTTTGAGACCCTGCCATAGGCTCTTAAAGGCAAAGATCTTGAGTTCCTCTGGCTCAGGATAGAAGGGAGGGCGGTCCGCTTGCCTGGGGTGACCTTGGATCTCTCCCTCTCCCAGCCTTCACCTTCTTCGATCCCAATGATCCTGCATGCCAGGAGATTCTGTTTGACCCCCAGACCACCATCCCGGAGCTGTTCGCCATTGTGCGCCAGTGGGTGCCCCAAGTCCAGCACAAGATAGATGTCATCGGCAATGAGGTAGGAACAGTGCGGAGACTAGAGAGGGAGGGATGTGGTCCCCCACGTGTTTGGGTAACCCTCTCCTGCACCCTGGTACTCCCAGATTCTGCGTCGAGGATGCCACGTGAATGATCGAGATGGGCTGACTGACATGACACTACTCCATTACGCGTGCAAGGCTGGTGCTCACGGAGTCGGTGAGGGCCCCAGCCCCCAAACCAAGCCCCCAGTCCCCACAGCCTTAAAACCATCCAGAAGCTGGGCACTCTGGGAAGCTGAAGCAGGAGGATCATAAGTTTGAGCCCAGCCTGGGCAACTTACTGACACTGTCTCAAAATAAAAAATGAAAACAGGGCCGGGCATGTAGCTCAGTGTGAAGGCCCACGATTCAGTCTCCAGTACTGGAAAGAAAAAATAACAAACCCCAAACACTCAGAATTCAGTCCCTAAGACCCCCACTTGGGACCTACAACATAAGATCCCAAAGTGTAGTTGGGGAGGCCCCAGGCCCTCCCCAGGCGCTGGATGCATGCTGGGTAGGAGGCCTTCCAAGCTGACCTAGTCTGTCGCACAGGGGACCCCGCGGCAGCTGTGCGCCTCTCGCAGCAGCTGCTAGCGCTGGGCGCTGACGTGACCCTGCGCAGCCGCTGGACCAACATGAACGCGCTTCACTATGCCGCCTATTTCGACGTGCCCGACCTTGTGCGCGTGCTGCTAAAGGGTGCACGGCCACGAGGTGAGCAGGTTGTGGAGGGAAGGAAGAGGACCTGGGTGAAAGGGTGAGGACTGGGAGTGGTGAGCAGGACAAGGCCTGGATGAGGGAGGAAGGGTAGGATGGGGGAGGGGGCGTGGCCGAAGGCGAGGGCGGGGCCGTGCGCTGGGGCTAGGACTCTGCTCCCACCGGGGCTTGGGGAGGCCTCTTTAGAGTTCAGAGAGAATGCAGCGGTGCACACCCCCGTAATCCTAACACCTTGGGATGCTAAGACAGGAGTCCCGAAAGTTGAGTCCAGCCTGGAAAATTGGCAAGACCCTGGAAATAAAAAAGGGCTGGGGATGTAGCTCAGTGTGAAGGCCCCAGGTTCAGTCCCTAGTCCAGCAGGGTAGGGAGGAGCTGTGTTATTTCCACTTGGGCTCACCCAGAACTCTGCTCTTGCCCACTTCCCAGTAGTGAACTCCACCTGCAGTGACTTCAACCATGGCTCAGCCCTGCACATCGCTGCCTCCAACCTGTGCCTGGGAGCAGCCAAATGTCTACTGGAGCATGGCGCCAACCCTGCGCTGAGGGTACTGCGGTCCTGGGCTAGCTGGTTATCTTCCCTCCCCTTTCCTTCCCTCTCTCTCTTCCTTTCTTCCTCTCTCCTTCTCTTCTTCTCTCCCTCCTTTCCTCCACTTCCCTCCAACAGGTCTCTGCATAGGACAAGCACCATTTGGCATTTCTGGACTTATAAAATACAAAAACCATCTTTACATTCAACAAATGAAATAACAGGTGTTATTTAGTGTTCATTGTGTGGCAGGTGAAGTCTGTTATAACCCCTGTTTTACAACGGGGAAATTGAGGCAGAAAGATGAAAGGATTTGCCTAGGGTCATCCAGCAAGGAATAGCTTTTCTTTCAGCCCTGCCTGACCCCATGGCTGTGTACCAGCAGCATTTTGAGATCATGGGGAAAGTACTGTAGAGAATGAGAGTCTCCCATAAGCCTTCAGTATATCTTGAGCCTTAAGCCTTCCCTTCCTGGATCCCATCCTCAACACAAGTTACTCTGCAGCATCCCTAATACTATGATCTTGGCCTATGCCCCTCAGACCCTGCCCTCTCCTCACTCCCCACTGGCTTAGAGTTTGACCTTTGACCCCGTAGCATAGCACAGAAGCCTATTCTGTTGCTTTTTTTTTTTTTAGTACTGGGGATTGAATTCAGGACCTTGTGCTTTTAAGGCAGGCAGTGGAACCACTGATCTAAATCCTTGTTGGGAGCCTATTCTCAATGTCATCCCTCTCCCCACTGCAGGTCCATTATCTGCTTGGGGTTGTCTAGAGGTACAGCCTCCCCAAGGCCATGACCTACACATCAGCCTCATTCCCTATTGGTTCCACTTGATCCTACCCTCAATTACTGGACACAGCCCCAGCCCAGGTCATAGAAGTGGACTTCCCTGAGGTCTACACTTTAATGCCCCATCCCTTCTTCTCCTGTTGGCCCATATGACCTGGTCCTATCCCTGCTCACCCAGATTTGTGGCCTCCATGGAAGTGCTGCCACTAAGTCCCTGCCACTCTCTTCCCATTGGTCTACAGAATCGAAAAGGACAGGTGCCAGCTGAAGTAGTCCCAGACCCTATGGACATGTCCCTGGACAAGGCAGAAGCAGCGCTGGTGGCTAAGGAGCTGCGAACGCTGCTGGAGGAGGCTGTGCCACTGTCTTGTGCTCTTCCTAAAGTCACGCTACCCAACTATGACAACGTCCCAGGCAATCTCATGCTCAGTGCACTGGGCCTGCGCCTAGGAGACCGCGTGCTGCTGGATGGCCAGAAGGTCAGGAATTGGGGTGGGGCAGAGGGTGGGGCTCGGCCCCCTCATCCCAGCTGGGTCCTGGGACTGCGTACACACTGTCCCCTTTGTCTGCCCACCCTCGCACAGTCACTCACGCAGTACTTTATTTCATCTAACAATTGTTCTATGAGTTCTTCCTTTGTGCCCCACCCTGTGCTGAGTTTTTGGTCCAAAGGGGAAACAGATCCATCCTCTGACAGTGACAGCCTAGAGTAGTCATGGCTAAAACATAAGCAGAGTGATCAGCACAGCTCTGTGCACCCGTGGTCCCCAGGGTCCCGAGGTCTCCGGTCAGGCCCATCTCACTTTTGGAGTGGTCAGGACTTTGACCAGGACAGTACAGGTCAGAGTGCTGGAGGCAGGGGTGGTTTTAGCTGGAGTGTTCTGGGAAGCCTTCTCTGAGGAGGTGATTTCCAAGCTGAGACAGGAAGGAGCTCATCTTCCACAGATATGGAAGTGACAAGTACCAAGACCCAGCAGTGCGGCACTGTGACTGGAGAGTTGTTTCTGATTGTGTTGTGGAGAGATCAGAGGGACTGGATCACACCAGCCCTGCAGGCCATTGGAAGGAATTTGGATTTTGTTTTTTACACAGTGAGAAACCATTCAAGTCACATTTTGTTTCCTAATCAAGAATTCTGCATGTGTCAGCCCCAATCCAGGAAAACTTTGTGCAAAATCTAATCAAATCCACTGGATGATTCTCAAAGAAGGGTGGTTGACTCCTCCCATTTTATACTCCAGAAGACTATAAGAACCTCTGAGAGGTGAAGAAGCCTTTTGTCCGAAGACACGTAATACCTATCTCTGATACCTATCCCTGCCCCTTAGGGAAGCAGCACATCACAGTGTTTTCACACTTAGGGTCAGCGACTGGCCCAGGTCCATCTCAGCTTTGCTGCTTCCCAGTCAGTGATCCCAGCTCTCTGGGAAAGTTTCTTCACCTGTAAATGGAAATGGTGATAGCACCCATCTCGAGGTGGTGGTGGGGTAAACTATGTAAGGCCCTTAGAACAGAGCCTGGTGTACACTTAAGTGTCTTTATGGGCCAACAACTGTTCCAGGCCCCACCAAACCCTCCTAAGTCAGCACTATTAATTAGCTCATTTAATTCTTATTGTTTTTACAGTTGTAGGGATTGAGTCCAGGGCTTTATGCATGCTAGACAAGCACTCTACTACTGAGCTATAACCCAGCCCCTGTTGGCTCATTTTAGAGACAAGGAACTTGGGTAGAGCATGTGCTTAGCATTTAAGAGGCTCTGGGTTCAATGTGTACCACCAAGGGGGAAAAAAAAAGACAAGAAACTGAGTCATGGAGGCAAAGGAGTGTCACAAAAGATATAACTGCAGTCACTGAGGGCTCACTAGAGCCAAACATCTTTACATGTTTTTAAAATGTGTCCCCACAAGTGGTGCATACCTGTAATGCCAACACTCTGGGAGCCTGAGGCAATAGGATCACAAATTCCAGCCCAGTCTGGGCAACTTAGCAACTTAGTGAGACCCTGTCTTTAAAAATAAAGGGCTGAGCCGGGGATTTTGCTCAGTGGTTTCACTGCCTGCTGCCCAAGCGCAAGGACCCGAGTTCGATCCCCGGTACCAAAAAAATAAAAAAATAAAGGGCTGACACAAGGACCTGGGTTTGATCACCGGTACCAAAAACAAATAAAATAAAATAAAAATAAAGGGCTGAACAGGGCCAGGGATTTAGCTCAGTGGTTCCAGCACCTGCCATGCAAGTGCAAGGTCCTGAGTTCAATCCCTGGTACCGAAAATAAATAAATAAATAAATAAAATTTAAAAAAAATAAAGGGCTGAGGGCTCGGGATTTAGCTCAGTGGTTTCAGCACCTGCCTCGAAAGTGCAAGGTCCTGAGTTCAATGCCCGGTACCAAATAAATTTTAAAAAACAAAAAAAATAAAGGGCTGGGGATATAGCTTAGGGCAAAGGCCTGTGGTTCAATCCTTAGCACCACTACCACCAAAATAAAAAGCCCACCCCCCCACCTACCTCACATGGCTGTAATTCCAGCTACTTGGCTGGCTGAGGCAGGAGAATCAAAAGTTCGAGGCAACCTGGGCAATATAGTGAGATGTCTCAAAATTAAAAAAATTAAAAGGCCTGGGGATATAGCTCAGTGGTAGAGTACCCCTGGGTTCAGTTTCTAGTACAAAAAAATAAAGCATCCCACAGACAACCACCCTTGGGGTGGGGTGCTATCATCCCTATTTTCCAGGTGAAACTGAAGCTCAGGAAGTCCCATGATCAAAGATACACTATGATAATAGCCCACACTTGCTGCTCCCTGACTTAACAGCAGGCCTTATTCTGAGGGCTTTAATTCCTCCAGGACAGCCTTTTCTTTGAGACAGGGTCTCACTTGGAGTGTAACTCAGTGGTAGAGCATGTGGTTAGCATGCGTAAGGCCTAGGTTCACTCACTAAACCTGGACTTGGCCTTGAACTCACAATCTTCCTGCCTCAGCCTTGCAAGTGATGAGATAACCAGCATGCACTACCATGCTTGGCTCCCAGTAGGCCTTCCTGTGATGGTGGACATGCCTGGGTCTGGGTCTGTGTGCTCCAAGACAATAGCCACAAGGCGCATGTAACTATTCAGCACTTGAAATTTGACTAGTATGAGCTGGGCGAGGTGCTGCACACCTGTAATCACAGCACTTGGAGGCTGAGGCAGGAAGGTTGCTGAGAATTCGAGGCCAGCCTGGGCTACACAGTGAGTTCAAGGCCAGCCTGGACTACATAGTGAGACCCTGTCTCAAAAAAACCCAAACAAAACAAAACAAAACAAATTTGGCTAGTATGACTGGGGAAATGAATTTTTTTTTTTTGGTACTCAGGATCAAACTCAGGACCTTGCGCTTGCGAAGCAGGTGATGGAACCACTGAGCTAAATCCCCGGTCCCTGAATTTTTAATTTAGTGAAATTTCAGATTTTCATAATTGGCTAATGACCATTTACTGTATTGGTCAGGGCAGGTCTGTAAAAATCCTATAAGGTGGGGCATTTCCCGTTCCCACTTTGCAGATGAGTAAATTGAGGTACAAAGAGGTTAAGCTGTACAGCTAGTAAATGATGGAGCTGAAATTGAGCCCAAGCTCCTGTATCCACCCCACCATGCTGCCTGTTGCCAGTGGTCCACCATGGCCTCCCAAGGTACCTTTCTGAGCCGTATCCTTTCTTGTCTCCCCAGACGGGCACACTGCGGTTCTGTGGAACCACGGAATTTGCCAGCGGCCAGTGGGTGGGCGTGGAGCTGGATGAACCTGAGGGCAAGAACGATGGCAGTGTCGGGGGTGTCCGGTACTTCATCTGCCCTCCCAAGCAGGGTCAGTCCCACCTGTGGCCCAGGAGGGTGGGGATGCCGGTGTCTGGGGAAGAAGGCCAAGGGATGAGGGCACGGCCAAGGGCAGAAGCATGGACAATGCCAAGCCCAAGCTCTGTCCCCTCAGGTCTCTTTGCCTCCGTGTCCAAGATCTCCAAGGCAGTGGAAGCACCCCCATCTTCTGTCACCTCTACGCCCCGGACTCCCCGAATGGACTTCTCCCGAGTCACTGGCAAAGGCCGAAGGGAACACAAAGGTCAGGGGGACCCTTAAGGGGATGGGAAGAGGCTGTTTTGGGGAGATCGTGTGGGTAGCTTAGCTTCCATGACTCAGTTTCTCCTCAGGCCCAAACTCCAGTTGTAAAGGACAAACCCTGTGTTCCTGATACCTGTGACTCAGTTTCTCCTTTGAGTGTGTTGCGGCCCCACCCCCACCCCCCACCATTCTTGGAAGGAAGGACCTGTGGATTCCTGTCCTGCTATGATGCAGTTCCCCTCAGCCTCAAAGGTCTTTCCTAATTTTAGTGAAGGATCTGTTTCTGGTGGTTCCTATTTCAGGGGTTCCTTGCTTCTGCAACTTGATCCATGCTCAGACCCAAATCTCCCTTAGTTTACTTATTTCTATTTGAAATGAGGTCCCGCTGTGTTGTCTAGACCAGTCTCAAACTTCTGGGCTCGAATGATACCCCTGCCTCAGCTTCCCAACTGCTGGAACTACAGGCACATGCCACCTTTCTAGAATCCCTTAATTTTACTTATTTTGTCATGCTGAGAATCACATCCAGGACTTTGTACATGCTAGGCAGGCACTGAGCCACACCTCCAGCCCTTCCTCTTCATTTTATTTTTAGTTTGCTTTTTTTTCTTTTTTTTCCGGTACCAGGGACTGAACTCAGGACCTTGCACTTGCCAAGCAGGCGCCAGCATCAGAGTTAAATTCCCGGCTGTTTTTTGTCTTTTTTGAGAAAGGATCTTATTATGTAGTCTAGGCTGCCCTTGAGGTCTCGGGTGATCCTCCGACCTCAGCCTCTCCAGTGCTGGGATTACAGGTGTTTGCCACCATGGCTGGCTGTCTTTTTCTTTTCTTTTTTTTTTGGTAACGGGAATCGAACTCAGGTCCTTGTGCTTGCGCAGCAGGTGGCGAAGCCACTGAGCTAAATCCCCGGCCCCTGTCTTTTTCATTTTGAAAGGAGAGTGTCTGGGTTCCTGACTTCTGCCTCAATTTTTCCTTTAGCTTTGAGAGAAGATTTTGGGGTTCTTAAAGTTCTGTGACTCAGTTTCCCTCAGTCCTAAAATCCTTCCTCCTAGTTCTGTGGCATCTGGGATTCAGTTTCCCTTAAAACCCAAATATCCCCTCCCTCTCCCCCAGTTCTGGAGAAGGCTTTGAAGTTCCTCTGATTGGAGCCAGGACAATATTACTACATTGGGCTCTTGCAAGTGGTATGAGTCCCCAAAGTTGGCACCTGGGGTCCAACCCCCTCACCTTCTGTCCCCAGGCAAGAAGAAGTCTCCATCATCTCCATCTCTGGGCAGCCTGCAGCAGCGTGAAGGGGCCAAGGCGGAAGTTGGAGACCAAGTCCTTGTGGCTGGCCAGAAGCAGGGAATTGTGCGCTTTTATGGGAAGACAGACTTTGCTCCTGGTAAGGATGGGGACTCTAGGCTGGTGGGCAGAAAGGGCCTTGAGGCATCCTGACACCCTCTCTCGCAGGTTACTGGTATGGCATTGAGCTAGACCAGCCCACAGGCAAGCATGATGGCTCTGTCTTTGGTGTCCGATACTTCACCTGCCCCCCACGGCATGGGGTCTTTGCACCAGCATCCCGCATTCAGAGGTGAGCTCAAAGTCTGACCCCCAACCCAGGGGGCCACCCAGAGCCCCAGTCCACCCTCAGATAGTCCCCTTCTTTTGGACTAGCAAGACAGTGTGGTTACTGCTGCCCTACCCTAGTTCTTTCCTCTAGGCCCCTAGGGCTCAGTTCCCAACCAGACCTGGCTTCTTGTGGCTCTGACATTTCCCACTCCTGTTTCTCCTCAGGATTGGTGGGTCCACCGATCCCCTTGGGGACAGTGTTGGAGCCAAAAAAGTGCATCAAGTGACAAGTGAGTTGGGGGCTGGGATGTGGGGAAGAGTATAGGTGTGGGGATGAGGGAAGAGGCCATGGGTTCTCAGGTGTATGTTGGTGACAGTCTCTGATATTTAGCTGGGGACACAAGATCTAAGAAAATGATGAGGCAGGGTCCCAAAGAAGATAGGTGCTATATGACATGGGAAAGTTAACAAGACTCTGGAGAGCTTGGGGTGTGGACCAGTGGCAGAGCATTTGCCTAGCATGTGTGAGACCCTGGATTACAGCAAAACAAAACAAAATGGAAACAAAAACAGGCTCTGAGCAAGCACTGGAATGTGGGGACCCAGGTAGGCATTGGGGAACATGGTGGATACTGCTGACAAGATGTCTAGATGGGCATTGGGAATGTGGGACCCGGGGAACATGGATAGGTATTAATGACAAGGAGTCCGGGTAGGTATTAAGGGGATAGGTGGGTTTATCATCCCCTCACCTGCTAATCTATCCTTCTCTCCAGTGACACAACCTAAACGCACCTTCACGACAGTCCGGACCCCAAAGGACATTGCATCAGAGAACTCTATCTCCAGGTGTGTGGCCAACTCTTGTTCCTTCTCCTGCAGAATGTTCAGGGAGCAGCATCCACAGAGCTGTTGGACATGAGAGTCTGGAGCTCAAGTAGGGGCTAGAAATAGAAGTTAGGAAAAGTTGTGACCAGTAAGCACATCTAGATACAGTCTTTAGGGTGTAGGACCCAACACTGACTTCTAGTGACTTCAGCTTTTAGGAGCAGGTAAAGGAAGCAGAACATCTCTATTTTTTCTTTCTTCTTTTGGTACTGGGGAGTGAACTTGGGACCTTGTGCTTTCAAGGCAGGTGCTGAAACCACTGAGCTAAATCCCTGGCCTAGAACATCTTTATTTTTTAAAGCCTACAAGAGCACAATGAGAGGCAGAATCCCAAACATGGAGGGATAGCTGAGGGGAGGGTGATGAAGTCAGATGTCCCTACACGCTCGTGACAGTATGATCTGGTTCTCCTTTCAGGTTGCTCTTCTGCTGTTGGTTTCCCTGGATGCTGAGGGCAGAAATGCAGTCTTAAAGGCCCTGAATACCAGACAGAGACACAGAGTCCCCTCTAGTATCTCCTGACACAAGGAGCTCCCAGTCACCCGAGATAGAGATTCCCAGTAACACTTCAAGAATAGAGACCCCCCCACACACCATTAGCCAGCCCTTGATCATTGAGGTCCCATTATTAACAGATCCCCCAAGATAACCCCCCAAATACAGACCTTACGTCACCCAGAAATAAATTCCCTGAGTAGCACCTTCAGGTTAGTTCCTGTCCCCAGCCTCTCAGACCAGACTCCCAATTAACAGATTTCCACACTCCAAATGATGGTGATCCTCTCCACATAATGCTCTATAACAGGACATTCTTGAGTCACTCATCAGTGGGGATGAGAACCGCACCATTAATGAAGATCCCTTTTCCACCTTGCCCTTGAAATAAACATAGATAACAGCTCTGGAGTAGCAGACCATGTCTCTATCTCTGTTTAACATCAGTGCTCTCAAGATGTGACTTCATGTCACCCCAAAGCCCTTACACTCCAGATCTTCTATAAGAGACTCCCTCCATTAACAAAGACCTTGTTCTTATCCCTCAAGAAGAGACCCACCTTAATCAGCCCACCGTCACCCCCAATGTACAGACACCAAAATACCAAAATTGTCCTGGAAGTGCTAATTACAGGACCCTCAATTCTTCCTACCCTCTGCACCCTCAACAAACCCCCAGTGCCTTGTGTGAAGCTCACCCTACATGGCCCACAGAACCTGTGCTGGCCAGGATCCCAGAAAATTCTCTATTTTTTAAGTAATGACTTCCCCTTTTGGGGGACCCCAAATTAGGAGATCCCATTCTGGGACTCTGGGGATCCTACACCCCAGATTATATATATCCCCAACTTCCCTGTGCCCTCAAGACCTACAGCCCCTAGAAGACCCCAAATTGTGAACTCCCAGGACCCCCAAATCCCCAGAGAATCCCAAATTTTAAAATCCCCAACCCCTAGGAAACCCCAATCATGAGGTCCTTGTGCTTGGGACTTGTGCTTGAGACTGCAGTCAGGATGTGTATTCCAGGCTCTCAGAGAACCTGAAGCCCTTTTCACAGGCACCGGGAGACCCCCAAACAGGAATTACCATCCCTAGAAACTAGAGGATTTCAATGTCTTGAGTCCACAGACCTCAAGAAACGCAAATCCCAAGAGCCCCCGCCCCAAGGGAACCCCAAATCTTAAAAGCCTCCATCTCTAATACATGGAGTGTCCCCGAGGCCCTGAGGGGATCCCAAGTCTTGGAGCCCCCATTTCAATCTACCTTCTGGTCACAGGTCTAAGACAGCAAATTTGAGTCACTGGCCCCTCACAGCACTTGGGCCAGACCAACAGCCTGAGGGAGAACCTGAAGGCCCCGCGGGTCTAGGGCAGACCTGGGCCCCCGAACACCAAGGACAGCTCACGACTGTCCCTTCACTGCATGTCCCCAAACTACGCATGATCCTGTCCTCTTCAATAAAGACGTTTCTATGGCCTCTGTGTCGTCATTGTTTGGGGGACACGGGGGACTCTGCCTCTGTACTCTTGCTGGGGTAGGATGAAAAGGAAGCCTTTCTTCAATCTCGGCTCCTCGCGCCATGGGCACTGGATGGCCTAGTTTGCTGGAAATCCATCTAGCAGACCCCCCAGTTTTCTTCTCGCGGCCGGCTCCCCAGCGCTTCACAGGCGAGCCTACGCCTGTGTGGACAGGTTCGGTTCTGGAGTCCTGATTGGTTTGTGCCTTATAAGACCCGCCTTCATTAAATTTTCAATGGCTCAGAGGCCAGAGATTCCAGGCTATTTTTGAGCAAAGAGAGCGCCGATTGGCTGGAAGGAGAACCATTACGCTCTCTGAACGTTTCCATTGGCCTGAAGACTCGCGTCAATCAGGTGAGGGCGGAAGTGGCTGGAAGGAGGTTGGGGTGTCGAAATCTGGAAATTGGAGGGGATACCCGTGGACGGTCAGTTTGGGGGGTGATCGGGGCAGAGATGAGTGTCCAAGAGGGCCGGGAGTGGGGCTCCTGGGAAACTCAACGGGAGTCCGAGGGAGCTCAACGTGGAACCCTAAAGGATTCAGAATCGGTGTCTAATGGATTCAAGGAGCTGAGATTTGAGAGGAGTCAGGCTCAGGTCCGAGGGTGCTGGAGTGAAGGGCCACCCGGGAAAGTAAGTCTGAGGGGGGTCCACAGTGGGAGGTTCCGAGGAGACTGAGAGTGGACATGTCTGAGAAGAAGGCGCAGACTGGAGGCACATGGATGCTCAGAAGGGGGCATCTGAAAGGGCTGAGGCCAGAGGAATGTTGGTGAGGCTCTGAGTGTTGTCGGAGAGCCGCGCTGTTGAAGTGGGGTATGAGGTATCTAATGGGCCTTTGGAGTGCAGTCCTAAGAGCTTTTAGAAAGGTTCCCTGTGTGGGGTCCGAGGATGTTCTCTTAGAGGGGAAAGAGCAACTGCGTAGTTTGATGAGCATGCAGTGGACAGAGTATTGGAGGAGTGCTGGGTGCTCCTTGTGTTTGGACATGGCGCCTGGGGGGGATCATTGTGTGGCTTTGAGAGGGTTTTAGAGGCTGAGTTTCACAGGGTGGCTGCTGGCCCTTGATCAGGTGAAAGACTGGATCAGGGCCTCAATGTGGGAGGCTTAGTGACTTCGTTATGTCCTCCTCTCCCCACAGGACTGGGTGCAAGGACTTGCTGTCAATGGAGGAGCAGGATGCTAGGGTGCCAGCCCTGGAACCATTCAGAGTGGACCAGGTTGTCAGGATGGGGGTACACAGGGTGAAGATGGGGTCCAGAGAGTGGGGGGCGGTGGGCAGGCTGACTCCTGGGTCCATGGATTAGAACTTAACCCCTCCCTCCAAATTCATTTTTACCCTCAGAGTTCAGTCCCACTTTCAAGCCTACCCTGGAATGAGCATGTGTTCCTTGACTTCAGACCTTGTCCCATCTGAGGACATCTTTAGCCCTTCCACAGAAAGAAAGGTTGCTCAGTGATGGTAGGGTCCCTGTGTGGGTCAAAGACCCACATCTTCAGAGGTGTCTCTCCATTGCAGGCACCACCTGTAATCTACTACGTCCCTGACTTCATCTCCAAAGAAGAGGAGGAATATTTGCTTCGACAGGTGACCCCAGTGCCTTCTAGCCTGCTTTCCCCCTCTTCCCATATTTCTCTCCAACCCCCAGCCTCTGTATGAGACCCGCAAGGCTGCAAGTGAAGACCTGGCAGAGAGGAGGATGTAACATAGGACCCATCCTCCACTCTTCCTGTTCCTCTCTGAGGAACTGTTAGGACCTGTCCGAAAGGGCTTTTTTCTAGGGGGCTTAGGGAAAACCAAACCTCCTTAGAAAGGAGGTACTTATTGTGAAACTCAGACTCCCTGTACTGAGGTACTGAGGTACTGGATACTGAGGTAGCCCAGTCCAGCCTCTAAAGCAAGGATGTTACTACATCAGATTCCTTGTGCAGAAATAGCCCAGTGCAACCCTAGAGGCTTGGGAATGAAGAAGTTACAGAATGAATACTCCCTATACTGAGATAGCTGCCCGCAGAAAATGCTCTATTAAGGACCCAATATTACTGTCTTTTTTAAAAAATTTTGAATAAGGTCCCACAAAATTTACCCAGGCTGGCCCCAAACTTGCATTCCTCCCCCTTGGCCTCTGGAGTAGCTGGGATTACTGGCATGTATCATCATGCCTTGCTCAAATCTTGCTGCCTTTTATCTATCAATCTATCTATCTATCTTGAAGAACAGAGTCTCGCTAAATTGTCCAGGCTGAGCTCAAACTCCTAGTACTCCTGCCTCAGCCTCCCAGAGTATTGGGATTGCAGGCATGTCCCACCACACCTGGAAAAAATCCTGTCTTAGAGCAAGTTATAAATATAGGCTGAAATAGCCCAGAAATGAATGCTACAGAGTAAACTCTTCCTTGTACTACAATAGCTCCGCATAAACCCAGACTCCTAGGAACAAAGTTAACAGGTGCTAAATAGCCCAGTCAATATTCTATTCTTAAGGTTTAGGGAAGGAAGAATTTACAAAACTCAGGGTCCCTGCACTGGTTTATCCTTTTACAGCTCCAGAATCTTAGTTATAGAGCACACATCTTCTCTATGCTGGAGTTACCCACTACCCACTTGAGCTTGAGTCCCAGGAACAAGTTAGCCGTGGAACATAGGATTTTGGGCTGAGATAGCCCATTCCAGAACTCTGGGGTTTTTGGATGGAAAATTTTACATATTTTAGAATCCCTAGATTCACATATCCCAGGCCAATCCCATAACCATGCTGAGGATGAGATTATCGACTACAGTATAGATTTCTTAGACTGAGCCCATTCTAGACCCTTGGGATCTTGGCAGTGGAGGATTTTCAAAATATTTTCCTTACTGTACTGATAATTCAACCTAGCATACTGTCTCCCCTAGGCAATAGGAACGAGAAGGCTCCAAAACTCAGGCTGTCCCCAGATAGCCCAGGAATCAGGAAATTAGAGTGCAGACTGTTTTCTGGACTGAAAGAGCCTAGGCTGGTCCCAGAGCTGAGTAGATTCAGACCATGATTTTTCAGCCCATTCCTTTTCTCAACCCTAGTGGACACCTATAGGCTTTGGGGCCAAAGGCCTCTCCAGGAAAAAAGACAAAATCCTAGGAACATACTACCTCAGAGAATGGTCCTAACTGAGACAACTCATTTCTATCCCAGGCAAAGCCCCCTGTGTTGGTCTGGGTAGGAGAGTCACAGGGGGATGGTCCTGAAAAAGGAACGATTCCTTCCCCACCTCCTAGGTTTTCAATGCCCCAAAGCCAAAGTGGACCCAGCTGTCTGGGAGGAAGTTACAGAACTGGGGTAAGTGTCCCTGGCTGGGCCATGGGTGGTTCTGGGATGTGAGCTGGTTAGAGAGCTCATGTCTAGGTCTTGACACATGAAAGGAGGGGTCCCTGAGGGTCCCAAGGCCAGGAGTGTTCTGAGGGGTCAGTGGAGGTCCTGAGAGGTTAGAGATATCATGGTGAGTTGGGAATTATCTCTCAGGGTCCAGTGGTCTGGAGAAGTTAGAGAACCCTTGCAAGTTCGAGTGGTGATCTCCAAAAGGTCAGAGCATCACTCAGGGAGTCAGGGTGCTTCTAATCACTGGGATATCCATCATGGGGGCTCCAGGCTTCTTGGTGGGGTATCCTCAGGACCCCGTTTCACTCCCCAGGTGGTCTCCCCCATCCTCGTGGGATGGTCCTTGAGCGGCTGCCCCCATGGCTCCAGCGCTGCGTGGACAAGGTGTCTGACCTCAGCCTTTTTGGGGGTCTCCCAGCTAACCATGTCCTCGTGAACCAGTATCTGCCTGGGGAGGGCATCATGGTAACCACATACCTTCACCCCAGCTCTTACAGTAACCAACTCCTTCCAGACCTCTCAACTATCAGGGGACTGGGCATCATGCATATCCACCTCCCACTCATGGAGCGGCCACTTAACCCCACCCAGCATTCATCTCCCTGTCCCAGCTTGGGAGCCCTGCTTTGACCCAGAGGGTGGGGAGGTACACTCCTGCCCTGCCCAGCCCTGGTGCCCACTCTCCAGCCCCACGAGGATGGACCACTGTACTACCCAACTGTCAGCACTATCAGCCTGGGCTCCCACACCATGCTGGATCTCTACAAGCCACGGCAACCAGAGGACGATGATGCTACAGAACAGGTGGGCCCTGAGACACTGTCCCAAACCCTTGGGATGTTCCAACATCCTGCATCCTCCAGGATGACCCAATCCCACCTGCCTTTGGGGTATTCTTGACACCTAGACACCTTCCCCTTATGGGGCACACACATTTCCTCCTGGACACCCAACACATCTGCTTGCAGGGTGCTCTAACTGCCATGATATCCACAGATACTCCAGTATTCCTACCTGCTGAGTGGATGCCCCTGGCATCCCGCAGACCCCCTGATCCCACACCCTCAGTGTTCCAACAGCCCAAGGTCCACATACCCATTCAGGCTCCCCAGTATACCAGCAGACATTCTTGCCATCAGATATGCCTCAGGATCCTCCCAGATGTCCTGACTGCCCACTACACAGGGTACCCCAACACTGATAGCCTGCCACTGCAGTAATGTGATCTGCAGTGTGGGACACCCAGATTCTCCTTGCTCCTTGTCACATGACTTTGTTTAGGAACCTCCTAGATACACTGACAGCTATCTCTATGCCATACATTTCTGACATCATTGTGTTCACAGATACTCACCCTAATCTCTGATCCTCAGGGTGTCCCCTTTAGCTCTGTGTGCTCGTGGATACTCTGACATGCCTCATACTGCAGATGTCCTTGGATATCCCACTCCCTCTGGCCTCTCCCTCACTGTCCTCACCTGGTCCTACCCTCAGCCATGTCCTCATCACTCAGGTCTGCCCAGGTGTTCTGGGACAGCAGATCTCTCTCCCAGCTGTCACACCCTGCTGACCCTTTGATGTCCCCATCTGCAGCCTTATTCCTGCCCTCTCCCGAGGGACTGCCAACCCCTGGCCCTTCCTTCCCTGTCCAGCAGTCATGGTCTGGAAATGCACAGATTTTTCACTTCTCAGCCACCAATGTCTCTATCCCTGGGAGCATGCCTTCTCCTCCGCCTTTGCCCTGAGGACTTGCTGACCTTTGTCCTCTGACTTCTGGAAGCCTGGTGTCTTTTCACCCACCCCAACCTCTGGATACTCACTGACCATCAACCCGCCCCGCAGCCTCGGCCACCACCCAGGCCCATCACCTCACTGCTGCTGGAGCCCTGTAGCCTACTGGTGCTCCGAGGCACCGCCTACACGCACCTCCTGCACGGCATTGCAGCCAACCACTTAGATGCCCTGGATGCTGCCTCACTGCCGGCCAATGCAGCTGCCTGCCTGTCTGCAAGGCCTGGAGCCTGCCTGGTGCGTGGCACTCGGGTCTCACTGACCATCCGCCGTGTGCCCCGAGTGCTGCGTGCCGGCCTCCTGCTCAGCAAGTGACCAACGGGGGTCAGGGCCTGCTGGGATTCCTGGGGTGCTGTCATTGTGATCTTTTTTTTTTTTGGTACCGGGGATCAAACTTGGGTCCTTGTGCTTGCACAGCAGGCCGCAAAACTGCTGAGCTAAATCCCCAGCCCTGTCATTGTGATCTTGGAACCTTGGAACCCAGGAACAGAGGCAGCTCCCTTGGGTTATTTATTTCCCAGAAACTATGGGAACCACTCCATTCCAAATAAACAAAATATCTTTCCATCACACTTGGTTTTAGAATTTGTTTGTTTGTTCATGCTGGTCTTGAACTCACTATGTCGTCCAGGCTGACCTCGAACTTGTGGCAGTCCTCCGTGTCAGCCTCCTGAGCGCTGGGATCATAGGTGTGGGCCACTAAGCCCTGCTTAGTGGGGACAGATGCTTGGGCTCCTCAGCAAAGTGCTTGGGACCTTAAGTAGATGGGTGGAACTTGGAGGTCAGATATGAGTCACTGAGGGGATCACAATCCAGGGCTCTTAGGGTCGGGGCTGGGGGCTTTCTCTATGGATCCTCTTGGGATGGGTTGGGTGATGTTGGAAGGTTCAGCTACTGGCTGGCTGGGAAGGAGTTAAGTGATTGCTGTCACCTCAGCATCAGGTTACCTGGGTGCAGGTTCTTCTAGGAAGGGGTGGAGTCAGCTTTGCCTCTGGGACTCAGGCTGGGGTTGAGGTCTGCTGAGGAGGTTTGAGGGACAGCATTGACTGGGGGAGAGGCCTTACTGAGTGTCCTCACCGAAACTTTCTGTCCCCAGTCCCCCAGCTATGTCCCTGTCCTCATCTCTGGACCCTCGACTCCCCTCAGAGCCCTTCAGTCATCCCCCAGGAGCCCCTAGGGAGTTGGATGTTGCCGAATGCACCATCTGCCCTGCGCTGGGAGAGGAGACAATCAGGTGGGGACTGGGGCTTCCGCAAGTTGATCCCCAGAGGGTGGTGGTGGAGGTTGGGGCCATTTGAGGGTAGGAGGTGCTGTGATCTCATGCGGATGGGGTTAGGGTGGGGTGGAAAGTAAGGCACAGTGGCTCACCCAGGAGCCAGCCAATATCCCTTACCTGTAGGCCAGAGCAGGCTCAGGACTCCTTGGACCCTTCTGAGTACTTCCAGGGTGCGCTGAGGGGCACTGAGCCTGCTGCCAGTGCCCCCAGAACATCAGCACCCGCTTTCCATGAGGAACCAGCTGGAAGCAAACACTATGAGGTGAGCCAAGGTGACCAGACCCTTGTACCAGCCCTGCCTCTTTTCTGTTTCCCAGAATGTGGCCTCTACCCTTGGGATGAGGGGATGATTCTGGAAAGGTGTTGGGCATCAGTGGAAGGGGGAGCATCTGGAAAAGTTTTCTTTGCCAGTCTGTACGAAAATATTTTAGTATTTTACCAACTAAGAAAGAGGTATTTAATAATTGGTCCATGGGCTGGGGATTTAGCTCAGTGGTTCTGCCCCCTGCCTTGCAGAGCAAGGTCCCAAGTTCAATCCCTGGTACCAAAAAAAAAAGTGCTAATAATTGGTTGTGGTGCAATCCCATTCTTCTTGGAGGTACCCAGTTCTATCACACCTCCCCGTCCAGGCCCCATGCCTCACATAGCCAAATTTCCAGGAGACTTGAAAACCCATAGTCCTTGAATTAGATGTCCCCAGCTCTCAAGTGAGAAGCCCCTAATGGGAGCAGCCCTGGTGCAGGCCACAGATGGATGGACTCTGCTGCAGAGAAGCATCCAGAAGCCCATAGCTTGCAGAAGGGTGGCGATGGGATTGGAGGCAGTGTCTTGATTGACCCACTGGCCCTGTTTCTGTTCCCTGTGTTCCCCAGCACCCTGTCTCTGGCCACAAAGTGATGGAGGCTGAGCATGACAGCCTGCAGCTCTGCCTGTTGGGCCTGGGCCTCCGACTACAGGACCTGGAGCAAAGCCTCAGGCCCTGGTCACTGGCCCAGAGGGGGATGGCCCAGCTGCAGGTGGGCAGTGGGAGGCCAGGTTGTGGTGTAGGGGCAGGGTCCCAGGAGTCGGGTGGGAAGTGGGCTTATTACATGTTCTAGGTCTCTGATTGGAAACAGGGGACTCCAGGTTGTAGGTCTCTGGTGTTGGTGTGTGTGTATGACGTCCAACCATGTGTCCCAGGCCTTACAGGCAGAGCTACGAGGGGCAGCAGAACGTGTGGATGCACTGCTAGCGTTCGGTGAGGGGTTGGCACAGCGAATTGAGCCCAGGGCCTGGGCATCTCTGGAGCAGATCCTGAGGGCCCTCAGAGCCCACCGAAATACCATCTTCAGACAGCTCTGGCAGCTGCAAGCCCAGCTGGTCAACTATAGCTTGGTATGGCTCGCCCTGGTGGTCCCCAACCCAGACACCAGTCCCCCAACTCCCATGACCTCTGCCTTCTGACTCAGGTGTTCTCGAAGGCCAACACGTTGGACCAGGACTTGGAGATCGAAGAGGACTCGGAGGGGCCAGGACCTGGTGGAGTCTGGGGGTCCTGGGCACCCAGTAACCTCCCGTCTCCTGCAGAGTTGGAGTGGGACCCAGCGGCAGATGTTGGGGACCTTGGGACCTTGGGGCAAAAGACAGCCTGGGCACCAGGGACTCCCTGTGAATTGTGTGGCCAGGGGGCCCCCCTGGGCAGGAGACAAGGCCTTGAGGTGAGAGCAGTTCCCTTTGAGGGTCCTCCACTCAGCCAGGCGACAGCAGGGCACTTCTATGTGCCTTCTAGCGGGATCCTTGTCGTTCAAGGTCTTGGTGGCTCTGTCTCTCCTTCTACGTCTCTCTTGATGTCTCCATGATTTCTCTACTTCCATCATCTGTCTCTGTCTCTGGGGACTCCTCTAGCTCACTTTTTCCACTCTCCATTTGTCTCTAGCTGCATCCTCAACCTCATTTCCTCTCATTCTGCCCCTCACCTTCTTGGCCGCAGCCATACTCCAGGCCCTTTGGCAAACACACCAATGGCACTGCCATCTCGGGGCCCCCAGGTGCACGCTCAGCTCACTTCATCTCATTTCATCTCTCTTCATGTGTCACTTCAGAGAGGCCTGCTCTGGTCCCCAATCAGCACTCCTTATTTTCTGGCTGGATTTCCTGACAGACTTACCATAGCTTGACATGGTACATTTATTAATTTTTGGCCTCTCTGGCTAGGATATAAACTTCACAGAGGCCAAGATTTTGCCTGTTTCCATCCCCATTATGCCCTCAAACCTACAACTGTGCCTGGTATGTAATAGATACTCATTAAATATTTGTTGAGCAAATGAATAAATAATGTCTCTCCCCTCTTGGTTTCTTTGGCTCCTCTGAGACAGAGCCACCCTTATGACACTCCCCTTTGTGGCTCTTCCACAACCATGTCACTCTTTGTCACTGGCTCTCCAAGAATTGAATACCTCCCTCTCCTCACAGGACATGCTTGTGCCAGGGCTCAGCCACCAGGAACACTTAGGAGGTCACTGCTCTCTGCTCCGGAAACCTCAGGTGAGCCGGTCCTCAGCCAGGTGTAGCATTTGGGGTCCTTGATGCTGAGTGCCAGAATCCCAACCTGAAAGACTGACACAAACAAAAAAGGGACCGCCCCCCATAACTGAAGGTCCCAGCTCTGCTGAGTTCAGGACCACAGATGCTAACAGAGCTCAGTCCCTCCTTCTCTTGAGCTCCTCTTCCCCTAGGTGGCCTGCTTATCAGCACAGCTACACATTCACTTCCTGTACTCGCTTCAGCAGCACATATACACGCTCACTTCCAATTGGTTTGTCCACCCCAGGGGGAAGGACAGTGCCCTTGGCCTATTGGCAGCAGCAAAGGTCCCAGTGCTGACTCCACCTCCCTGGCTTGGGTCATGGGCTATACGCTGAACTAGTCAGGGCCTTCTGATTGGCCACATCTGGGTCCCATGCCCAATTATGAACATAGGAGAAATGAGTCAACTTTGCATGAACCTGCAGGTCTGTATGTAGGAAGGCATGACTGCTGCCCCCTCCCAAACTGCACCAGTGTTATCAGGAAAAGGGGGATCATATTGCACAAACAGATTTACGACACACTTGGAGATGTCCTAAGTCCTTGTGGGGCCCTGAGGATAGCAGAAATGCCAGGAAAGGAGAAATAAGACTAGTCTTGTAAGTAGTAACATCTATACTTCCATCTATTCTGCTGTGGGCTGCCATTTCCCCTCAGGACAAGAAGAGGCAAATGTCTCCAAGTCTCCAGGACATGATGCGGGAGGTTGATGATGGGTGAGATGCTTGGAGTATGGGTCTAGGAGTGTGGGGGACAAGGCTCATGGCACGCCCCACTTGCATATTTGATATGGCAATTCTCTTCTCAGGGTCCCCACTCCTGCATTCAGAAGGCCCAGGACCTTCCTCCTTGTCCTCCTCCTCCTCTTCCTTCTCCTGGTGGGTGCCACATTGCTCCTGCCCATGTCAGGGAGCCCCTGCTGCTCTCATGCTAGATTGGCCAGGACACCCTACCTGCTGCTCAGCTATGTCAACGGTCCCCCCCCAATCTGAGTACCCAGCCCAGACATGAGTAATAAATGGTCACTGTCAAAGGATGTGTGAGGATGTTGGGTGCTTGAGTCCTCAGAACCTGGGATACAGCCCCTATGTGTCCAGACATCCCCCTCTACAGACACCTTGTCTTGAGCAGAGCTTGGGCTTGGGTTGGAGTCTCCCAGACCCTGACATGGACATTCAAATTGAGGAGCTGACTTGAAAGGTGATATTAGGAGGAGTCGGGTGGAGTAAGCTGGGGAAGGGAGAAAGCCAACATTGGGTGAGTTAGTGGATGGGTAATTGGGTTGCCATCTCACTGGGAAACTGTGTGGAACACACTGGAAATTGTACCACTCAAGGGGTGAAGAAGTTGTGGCATTTATTTATCAGCTGTCATCTCACTGATGAGGACTCTTTCTGGAGACTTGGACTCTCCAGCATTTCTGGCCTGTCCTTCCCATAAAGGCCCGACCCTCAGGAAGAAGCACAGGTGCTCAAAACAGGAGGCTGGATGCAGGTGTAAGGAGGGAGCAGGTGACATGGGTGAGCTGCCAACAGCACCTGCTATAGACCCTGACTTGTGTCCACACAAGACCTCTGATCAAACATTCTCTGATGGGGCGGGGGCTGTCCAGGGGGGCCATCATTCACTCAGGACTATGAGACCCCTCTTCCTGGGGTCTGACAACACTGGGATGAATTGTCAGTGTTTGATCCTGGAGTCCAGGCTCCTCAAAGCTAAAGGCATGGAGAAAAGATGTGGGAACAGAATTAGAGTGAAGAACAGAGGCAGGAACCCTGTGCTGGTCTTCTGGATGTACGTTTTACACAGGTGCCTGCTCCTTGAATTCTCACATCTGCTCAATGGTCCACCCACTGAGTTAGGCTCCAGGAGAAGTCATGGGCTGAGGCCACATATAGAGCAACTGACTGAAGCCCAGCCTTCACTGACTGTAAACAGAGATGGGAGTTTATTTTTGTGGGTAATTGAAAAGCTCGGGAAAACAGGCACAGCTATATCAGAGACTTAGATGATGTCTCCATCTCTCAGGGTTTGTTTTTTCTTTGGATTAAGTCTCACTGTATAGTTCAGACTGGCCTTGAACTCAGTGTGTAGCCCAGGCTGGCCTCAAACTTGCAGTGATCCTCTTGCCTTAGTCTCCCAAGTGCTGGGATAACATGGATGTGCTACCATGCCCAGCTCTCAGTTCTTTTATTTTGGCTTTGTTCTTATCCTGGTGATGGCCAGAGTGCCCCTGAAAACCTCCAGGCAGAGGCTTGGAGTGTGGCTCAGTGGTTAAGTCCACTTTCTTAGTATGCACAAAGCCCTGGGTTTGAACTTGAGCACCTAAAAACAAAAAAGTCCTAAGTCTAGCTCCTCTGGCATGGGCCACCAGGTCCACCTTCACTAGGGCCACAGTCAGCCCCTCATGAACCATGCAGACTGAAAGTGGGTGTGGGGTGAGCCTACAAAGAAAATCTGAGAATTGTTACCCGAAGCAGGGGAATGGATACTGAGGGTGTGGGGCAAAGTAGGAGTTCTAGGAGAGACTCTAGATTTAGGGAAAAGTCAGAATGCAAACCAGATCTGTCCTGTTCTAAATGCCAGGCCATGTCTCTGCCCCCAACCAAGGAGGGGGTATGGCATCCCTGGCATGGCCAGTGAATAGGGCTGGTGGAGCTCCAGCAATATAGACCCAGTCATGGAGCAAATCTGTCATTCATTCATTCATCCACTCATTCTACAATTTAACAGATACTGACCACTATGAACCAGGCCCTGGTAAAGACATGACCAGTGAACTAGACAGATTAAAATCCTTGTCCTTGTAGAGCTGCATTCTATTGAGAGAGACTGACAATAAATTAAGCAAGTAAAATTACACAAGTATAGTAGGTCAGGTGGTGGTGAGTATGGAGAAAAAAATAGGCCAAGGAATAGGGGGACAATTTATCTTTATTTCATTTATATATTTTAAGGAGTACAATTTATTGCAGTGAAAGAAGGCATCAGAGAGATAGTTGTGTCATTATAATTATGCTTTTATAGCAGACTGTAGTAAAGAACCATGCCACATGGATGCCCAATGCAGTGCTGGCCCATAAAAATATGTGAGCCACAATGCAACTTCAAATTTGCAAGTAGTCAGACTAAAACAATAGAAATAGGTGAACTTAATTTTTTTTTTTGGTACCGGGGATCGAACTTGGATCCTTGCACTTGTGCAGCAGGTGTCGAAACCACTGAGCTAAATTCCTGGCCCCAGGTGAACTTAATTTTAATAGCAGATTTTATTTTACACAGTATGTCCAAAATATCACTTTAATATATAGTAAATATAAAAATAACGAGATGGGAGGGGTTTGGCTCAGTGGCACCGCGCCTGCCTTACAAGTGCAAGGTCCTGAGTTTGATCCCCGGTACCAAAATCAAACAAACAAACAAATAAAAATAATGAGATACTGGGCCGAGGATTTAGCTCAGTGGTTCCATTGCCTGCCTTACAGGTGCAAGGTCCCGAGTTCAATCCCTGATACCAAAAAAAAAAAGAAGAAAAAGATATTTTACAATCTCTTTTTCTCACTAAGTCTTTGAAATCTGGTATATATTTCACACTTAATAACACCTCAGTTTGGGCACTAAAATTTCAGCAGAAAAAATGATATGTTATTCTACCCAAACAATAAAGTCGCATGACAGAAAAAATATTTTACACTAGTTGTATTTAAAAGTTTTGTTTTTTGGTACCGGGGATCCAACTCAAGTCCTTGTGCTTGCGCAGCAGGCGGCAAAACCACTGAGCTAAATCCCCGACTCCAATTGTCTTTAAAATTTAAGTGTTTTTAGGGGGCCGGGGATTTAGCTCAGTGGTGCCGCCACCTGCCTCGAAAGTGCAAGCTCCGGAGTCTGATCCCCGGTACAAAAAAAAAAAAAATTAAATTATTTTAAATATACAAAATTAAGCTCCGTATGGTGGTGCATGATTGTGATCGCAGTATTCAGGAGGCAGAGGCAGGAGGATTCCTGCAAGTTCAAGGCCTGCCTGGGCAACACAGTGAGTTCAAAACCACCCTAAATTACATAGTGAGATCTTGTCTCAAAACAACAATGACAAATTATAAAATTAAAAATTCAAGCCAAGTGTGGTGGCACATGCCTGTAATCCCAGCAATCTAGGAGGCTGAAGCAGGAGGATCACAAGTTTGAACCTAGCCTGGGCAAGTTAGTGATTTAGTGAGCCCCTCTCTCAAAATAAAAAAAAAATTAAGAGGGCTGGGAATGCAGCTCAGTGAGAAGGCCCTATGTTCAACCCCTAGTACTATGCCAAAAAGAAAAAAAAAAATTCCTCAATTGCCTAGTCAAATTTGAAATGTATTGGACAGGGCAGGCCTTGAATAAGAGCATTCCAGGCAGAGGGAGGAGCAAGCACAAAGGCCCTGAGGCAGCAACGTGACTGCACCTGAGGCCAGTGTGGGTGCAAGTGGTGCTGAAAGGAAGTGGGAGAAGAAGGGAGAGGGGTCGCAGGGTTAGATCACGTGCAGTCCCATGGGCACAGTGAGGACACGTCTGTATGAAAGGGGCATCACTGAAGTTTTTTCAACTTTCATTCTGGTAACTGTTGAACTTACACAAAAGAGGGAACAGCATCACAACTCCTCTTGGACTCATCACAGCTCCAGCCATTATCAATTCAGGGCCAACCCCATCTCACTCTGCCAAGCGCCCACTTCCCACTCCCTAGATTACTTCAAAGCCAACTCTAAATGTTATATCCTGGACTGGGGATTTAGCTCAGTGGTTCCCGCCGCCGCCTGCTTTGCAAGTGCAAGGACCCGAGTTTGATCCCCGGCACCAAGAAAAAAAATATTATATCCTTTTACCAACAAACAATTCATGGTACATTTCCAGAAGATCATGACTGTTTTAAAAACTAACACATATATTTTTATTTTAAATATTTAAAATATACATATATTTAATTATTTTATTTATATTGGCACTGAGGATTGGACCCAGGGCACTCTGTCACTGAGCTAAACCCTCAGCCTTTAAAATAAAACATTTGTTTTTTTGGTATCAGGGATCAAACTTGGGTCCTTGCGCTTTTGAGGCAGGTGGCAGAACCACTGAGCTAAATCCCCAGCCCAAAAATTTTTTTAAATTTTGACAATGTTACGCTAAATAACATCAGGCTTGGGCTTGAATTTACAATTCTCCTGCCTCAGCCTCCCAGAGTGCTGGGATAATAGGAATACATTACCATGCCCAGCTAGTAAATTGTTATTCTTTTTTTGTTGTTATTCTTGATTCTGGGGGTCAGAATCTATAAAGGAGAGCAGATGTTATTTTTTTCAAAAGCCAAAAAAAGCAGCAATTTTATTTCACTAATTACAAAATCTGTGAAGAAGCAGCCATGCACAGGAATTTTATAAAGTCTCAGAAAATAACAGCTTCACATTTACAATACTGTGCCATGTGTGATCTCTGGTGCCCAAAGTTGATGATGACTAATCTGGAAACCTGAAATCTGAAATGCTCCAAAATTGAAACCTTCTGAGCACTGACATGATGCCACAAGTAGAAAATTCCATACCATAAAACTTTGTTTAGTGGGGGAAAATTTATTTTTGGTACCAGGGATCGAACTCAGGACCTTGGAAACGCTTGTGAGGCAGGCGGCAGAATGACTGAGCTAAATCCTCAGCCCCTGAAAAAATTTAAATTTATTAATCTTTGAGAAAGGGTGTCATTAGGTCACCACAGCTGGCCTAGAATTCCTGGACTCAAGTGACCGTCCTGCCTCAGCCTGTAGAGTAGCTGGGACTACTACAAGTGAATCCCACCATGCCTTGCTCAAAGTTGTTAAAAAATATTGTATAGTTATCTTCATGCTATGTGTATATGAAGGATAAATAAGGGCTGAGGATTTAGCTCATTGGTTCCGCCACTTGCCTTGAAAGCCCAAGGTCCTGAGTTTGATCTCCGGTACCAAAAAAAAAGGATAAAGTTCATGTGTAGACTGGGGCCCCACTCCATGATATCTCATTACATATATACCAATAGTGCAAAATCCAAAACATTCAGGTTCCAAGCATTTCAAGTAAGGAATATTCAACCTATACAACCACTGGATTTTTAAATTTTCTTTTGCAGTAATGGGATTGAACCCAGGGCCACTGCACTGAGCTACATCTCCAGCACTCTCTCCCCTTTGTTTTGAGACAGGGTCTCCCTAAGTTGCTCAGTTGTCCAGGCTGAGCTCAAATTTGTGATCCTCCTGCCTCAGCCTCCCAGAGTTCTGGGATTACAGGCTTGCGCCAACATATATGACTTTTTATTTTTGTAACATGTTTTGTTTCAAATTACAACGTTTAAGACTATTATAACAAATTCCCATATATAACAGATTCACCAATTGTCAACACTATACCATTTGCTTTACCAATCACACTCTATTTATATATGTGTATATGTATTGGATACCTTTGAGAGTAGGCTTCAGACCCAATGTCTCTTTATGCCTCAATATTTCAGTATGTTTGTCTTAAAATCAAGGTGGGCTTAGCCAGGGATTTAGCTCAGTGGCGATGTGCCTGCCTGGCAAGTGCAAGGTTGTGCGTTTGATCCCCAGCACCAGGAAAAAACAAATCAAAGTGGGCTGAATGTGTAGCTCAGTGGTACAGTGCTTACAAGTGCAAGTGCCTGATTTTGACTCCCAGAGCCACAAACAGAACAAACCAAAACAAAGGCATTCTCTTTTACAATTAGCATAGTTATAAAAATCAGAAAATGTGCTGGGTGTAGTGGTACACTCCTGTAATCCCAGCACTTGGGAGGCTGAGCCAGAAGGATCGTAGTGAGTTTGAGGCCAGTTACATTGTGAGTTCAAGGCTAGCCTGAACTATATAGCAAGACCCTGTCTCAAAAAATCAAAAGAAAAAAAATCAGAAAATTTAACAACACAATTCTATTCTTTTTGTTGTTTTTGAGACAGGGTTTTGCTAGGTAGTCCAGGCTGGCCTTGAATTCACTATGTAGCCCAGGCTGGTCTCGAACTCAGGGCAATTCTCCTGCTTCAGCCTCCCGATTGTTGGGATTACAGGTGTGTGCCACTAGGCTCAGCAATTCAATTCTATTATTAACTCACACTGCATATTCCAAATTACTTCAATCCGAGGGTTAGGGTGGAGCTCTGTGGTAAAGCTCTTGCCTAGCATGTGCTGAGGCCTTGCATTCAATGATTTGCAGTGCTGCAAAAACAAAACAAAATATTTATTCCAATTCCTCTATGCCCTTTATAGCAATTTTCTTAGATTAAGAGATGCTTGGATTTGTTTTTGAGACTATTACAATAAATTCCTATATACCCTATATACCAGATTCACCAATTGTTAACATTTTGCTATCTATTTCAGGTTGGCCTTTAATCTTCTAGATACCCCAGGCTGGTCTCGAGCATGCTATCCTCCTGCCTTGGCCTCCAAAGTGCTGGGATGATAGGCATGTAATCACACTTGCCTGAGAGTCTTTTTTTTTTTTGGTACTGGGGATCGAACTCGGGACCATGTGCTTTCTAGGCAGGCATCGGAACCACTGATCTAAATCCCTGGCCTCTGGCCCTAATTTTGAGACAGGGTCTTGCTCAGTTAACTAAGCTGTGCTTGAACTTGTGATCCTCCTGCCTCAGCCTCCCAAGTGCTAGGATTATCCGCACCTCCACATCCACCTGAAATTCTTGTTTAATAGATAATCTACAGAACTTGTCAAATCTTTGAAACTTGGAATTTCTTTTAAAGTGAAAAAAAAAGACAAGTAGAAGGTGTGAAGAAATGTTGATCATGGGCCTCAGCAGAGTGAAAGAACAGAGCAGCAGACATCTCCGAGACCAGCCAAGTCCTGTGCTTTACTCAGAAGCACTCGCTGAGCTGACTCGGATGAGGTTTATTTGGGATCCCAGAAGGTACTAGTAGGGAATAAGGAAGGGCAAAGGGTGGTCCAAAGAAGTATTCATGGAGTGGTAACCGTTGTGGGCAACTGGGGCCCAATGGCAGGGGGACCTCTGAGGAACCTTGTAGAATATCTGTTGTGACTGTCCCTCCAGACAAGAGGCAGGCCTGGAAAGGCACCCAGTACAGAAGGCAGGGCTCAGGGCAGGAAGCTGGCAGCCTCCTGGGAACCAGCTTCTGTGGCTGAGATTGAACTCAAGTGGACAGGAAGACTATGGCCAAGGGAGTGTCATCACTTGCTGCCACAACGTGTAATTAATTAATTCACTGGACCATTGTAACAGCCACACTGGCGGCATTATTATAATGCCAGTTTTATTGATAAGGACACCGAGACACAGAGAGGCATAAAGAGGTTAAATTATATTTGGCCATGATCATGTGATCAGCCAGTGCCAAGCTGGGATTCCACCTGGCACTCTAGTTCTGAGGTCCACGCCCTAACCACCATTCACTGCACACCATACCTCCTCCCTCAACACAGGCATTCCTTCCCCCATCTTCCCTACCTGGCAAACCCCACTGCTCTGTAACAATGGAGTGACTTCTGACTTGCTCACTGCCTGCAGCACTAGCAGAAGCTCCCATCCTGAAGCTTATTAGAGATCATGGAGCCAGAAGTGAGGGAGCAGTGGGAGATAAAGTTGGGAGACAATGGGGCTGGATGAGTAGAACCCTGTTAGCCACTTTCAGGTCTTCAGGCTTAATTTGATTTTTTTTTTTAGTACCGGGGATCAAACTCAGGACCTTGCGCTTGCAAGGCAGGTGCCAGAAACACCGAGCTAAATCCCCGGCCCTTCAGCCTTAATTTGAGATGGAGGCAGGGTAGGATTAACAGGACCACCTTGGGGCTGTAGAAAGCTTGCCTCGAATGTGCAAGAGTCCAGCACAACAAACAAGAATGACAACAAAACCAGGGTGACCTTGATGAAAAAACAGGCAGAGATGGAGAAGTCATTGAAGTCCCATGGTGAGGACTAAAAACAAAGCTGGAAGAGATACCACATGCTAGCAGTGCCACAGCCTTCTGCTCTGGAGCCCTCTAGGCCCCACCTGGGATCCTGCATCTCAGTCTTATTTGGGTGCCTGGGTCCTTTACTGGGATTAGGGCAGTGACCATGTTTTTCTGTCTGTCCTTCATTCAGTCCAAGGTCTGGGCTCCTTTACTCCCCCAAACTGTATCTACCAAGATTTATCTGTTTTCCATGTACTTTACTAACGAGGGTCCAAATATAAAAATGCAGTACTCTGTCAATCAGGGAAGATTAATATGAGGACGGTCTGTGGGTCCACCTCTCTGCTCCATGCCCCTGGGCCTTACTGACAAAACTCCCAGTGTGTAGCTGGGGCTGAAATTCCTGTCAGCATTGAGGAAGGTGGAGAGTTTTGAGATCCCTTACTATTGCCTCAGGGGTCACCAGCTCCATCCTTTCCTCTCCTACCTCATTTCTCCCCAATAAACAAGTGGGGTCTCTTTGGGTTAAAGCTAGGGTGGGTCTTCTCCATTGATCTGCCCAAGGAAGGGCTCCAGAGGAAAAAAAGCTCTCTACATCCATTATCTCTCAGAGGGCCACTTCTCAGTGTGTGTCTTTAAAACTCCTCAAATACATAAAATCTTTCAGACCATCAACAGAGAAATAAGCACGGCCTCAATTTTATTCCCTTTGTTCAATGGAAAGGGAAGGAGCCCAGGAGGCAGGGCTGCCCCTTAGGATCATGAAGCAGGGAGTCTTTATCGGTCACCTGGGGTGACAGATTCCTAATGCCCTCTTCATGGTCCTGATGTCAAATGGATGGAGGGGGGCTTCCAATGGGGATTCCAGGCCTCTCACCATTCATCAAGTCTGCTCTTCTTAGAGTTAAATACAGCAAGGAGCAGTCCTTGAGAATCCGGGGTGGGTGTTTTCAGAGGTCAAGAGAAGGATGTCAAGCTCTCTCTGGCCATGGTGTGGGGGAAGTCTGGGCTCCTCATGCCTTTGGGTAAGTAGATCTCAGCTTGACACTGTCAAGCCTTACTGGCCTCCCAGGCCGCTCTAAGCCCTTGCGGCGGAGGAGGGGCGGGGTCTGACCTGTCACTATACTTAGGAAAGGTCGGGCATCTCTTCCCGTGCACCACGTGGCTGTCCCCACAACGTGCGGAGGATGAGGTCCCGGTCCTCCCCAAACTGTCAAGCGGGAGCTCCTGGGTCACCGAGTGAGCTCTTCTGCCCGTCACTGTACATCGGGTCGGGTCTCCGGTGTCCCCATACCGTTGTGTGGGTTCCCAGGACCATCACAATCGTCAAGCGGGGTCCCCGGGGCAGCCGCGCCTCCGGGCTCCTCAGTCTGGCTTCGCGGACGCACGAAGGCACCCATGGCCGTGGCGTGGCCGGAACGCAGCAGCTGGAGCTGCCGCCGCCCGCGGCGGTACAGATACTCGATGCGAAGAACGTCGGAGCGCGGGAGACTAGCGTGCTGCCGGAACTCGGCCCGCACCCGCGCCTCGGCGCCCGGCTTCCCGCGCCCGGCGCGCAGCAGCTCGCGGTACAGGCTCAGAATTTGTTTCTGCAGCCGGCTGGGCCGGGTCATGGCAGCAGCTGGGCCGCGGGCAGGCGTAGCAGACGTCCCGCAGGTTGCTGCACCGCCGCGCAGTTGTGGCAGCCAAAATGCAACAGCCACTTCCGCCCCGCGCCTTTCAAAAGCCCCGCCTCCAGCCATCCAACGTTGCCACTTCCGATTGGTCGTCGCTGCACTTGCGTCACGGACGTCGGAGTCGCTGCGACCCGGTCCACCGGAAAGGGACGGTCTGTACCCTTGAGTAGTCGGCAGTCCTGGTAGACTCACGCCACTGGGTCCTGAGTGGGGTAGGGGAGTGGGAGCTGATTGCCGCTCGAGCTTTTAGGCCTTGGGTTGGAGGAGACTGTCAATCTTGACCTAACTTCTGGGTCTTGGGAGGAGAAAGCTAGAAGTTCGGGCCCTGTGTCCCCAAGAGTGCGAGGACAATGGGAGACAGGACAGGTCAGGCACTTTTTGGGGGGTTATTGGGGTGTGAACCCAGGGCCTTCACACTGAACTACATCCCCAGTCCCCCTTTTTTTTTGAGAGGGAGAGAGGGAGAGAGACAGATTTGCTCAGTTGTGCAGGCTGGGCTCGAATTTGCGATCCTCCACCCTCAGCCTCCCACAGAGTTGACATTATAGGCATGGACCACTATGCCCAGATCTTGTTTTGTTTGTTAAGGAGACAAGATCTTGCTATGTTGCCCAGGCTGGCCTTGAACTTGCGATCCTCCTGCTTCAGCCTTCTGAATGCTAGGACTGCAGGCACATGCCACGGTGCCTGGCTACAAGCCTATGTTTATCATGTATTAAAACCACCTGAGGAGAGTGCCAGCCCTGGGGACACACAGGAGAGGGTCATAGAGTGAAATGTTGGCCAGTTGGCCACCCTTCTCTGTGCTACAGGGAAGATAAGCAGATCGAGGGTGAGGGCACCAAGCCCCCAAAGGTGGCATGTGGCTCAAGGATTTGGATTGGCTGCACCCTCTGCAGGTGGGAGTGGAGTCCTGGGGCAGCAGGAGGAGAGTCCTTACCAGTTGTTAAAATTCAGAGTCCCTTACACATTCTGAGCATGCTGACTAGCTGGGTACCCTTCGGGCCACGCTTCAAATCATCAGCCACAGGTTCCCGGTAGTCTCCAGGCTGCCTGGAGATGTCCTAGTACTGCCTGGGAGGACCACAGGGATATGGCCCTCTGGGGTCCCATTGGTGCCTAGAGCAAAGGGGACTGCTGGATAACTCCAAAGCCCTCTGTCAGCATCTAACCACATCTCAACACACATGGTGGACAGCAGAACTGGGCATTTGTTCTCAGGTAACAAGGAGCAGCTGGTTTAGGGTGGGGATTAGGGTTGGAGTGTGGGAGTCAAGAAAGGTTGGGGGAGGCAGAAATGGTAGTGCACACCTGTAATCCCAGCACTTGGGAGGGTGAGGCATGAGGATCACTGCAAGTTCGCGGCCAGCCTGGGCTACGTAGTGAGTTCTAGGCCAGCTGAATTACAGAACAAGACCTTGTCTAAAAAAAAAAGCTGTGGGGAATCACTGTAAATCTCTAGCAGATGAAATACATGCTCAGTTCTTTGCTAGAGGAATAAGATCTTAATAATGAATGACGGAACATTTGTAACTGTGATGGGTGGGTTCATGGGATTTCATAATACTATTCTTTTTGTGATGCTTGAAATTTTCCATAATAAACACTTTCTTAAAAGGGAGAGAGGGCTTCAGGATCTGTTGCAACCCTCTCACCTATGCCTTCATAATCTAGTAATTGTTTGCTAAGAACTTACTATATACCAGGTACAATTCCACATGCTTTAATGTTCTATTGTTTATTTTATAAAAGTGTGTGACATAGTATGTTAATATAAGATATACAGTATAGTGAGATACAACTGATATTTTAATCTACTGCTATCGAATTTATTTTATGCAATTCATTCATATTTAAGTAGTGATTATTTTAAGGCTCGTTTTAAAATCTGAGTCACTCTCAGGTCTAAGTAGTCTTAAGATTCTGATTATGACCGGCATTGGCAACTCCAGCAGTGGGGTAGAGTGCAGGGGCAGATGTATCTGTTCTTCTGACCTGTTCCTGTTGGAGTGGCCATCTCTCCATTCCCAGGGTCACTCTGGGGTTTAAACACCCATGTTAGCGCTGGGGATTTAGCTCAGTGGTTCCGCCGCTTGCCTTGAAATGACAAGGTCCTGAGTTTGATCCCCAGTACCAAAACAAACAAACAAACAAACTACCCATGTTTTTCCTACCAAATAGCCCTTAATCTCCCAGACAGCTATGTTAATCAGCCTGAGAGTCTATTTACTTTCCAATGCATACAATGGGCTACAAATCCTCAAAGGCCACACTGTCCCCCCTATCCAGGGTCCACTGTGGTTTTCTGATAATGGCCACTCAGTTTACCTTTCTAGCCCCACTCTCAGGCTATGGGTTTCCTGGATGATATACCCACCCTCTGCCCCCAGCTTTGGGCATGTGCCCCTGACCTGGCCAATCAGAGATAAATTGGGGTATCTTATCTCCTGGTCCTTGTGATTGGTTTAAGGGTGAAAAATGCCCTCCATTGGGACAGTGAGTATCAGCTCTGGGATTTCTTCTAAAACTCAAAAGGACCAGGGATGTAGCTCAGTGGCACAGTGCCTGCCTGGGAAGTTCGAGGCCCTGAGTTCGATTTCCGGTACTAAAAATAAGATAAAACTCTCGAGAAAGAAGTACTGCTTTCTCTCTGGGGAGGCTAAACTGTGCTTGGTAAACCTGGAGCAGTGGGAGGCTCCACTACAAACAGGTGCTTTGGGAATGAGGCTGCCTTCAAATAGCCACTCTCCACTCCTTCCCTAGAAGTATAATTTTTAGCTGCACACATGGCTACACAGCTAAAGATACACCTTCCAGCTCCCTTTGTAGCCAGATGGCATCTTTTCCAGAAAGTTTTGGCCTTTGGCAAGTGTGTGGAAGAGATGTGTGCCACTCCTGGATTGTGCCTTTAAAGAAGGGAGGGAGGCCTGACCACCTTCTCCTCCCTTTCCTCCCTTCCAGCTTGCTTGAATGTGGATGTGTCAGGGAACAGATGAGGGTGATATAACCTGGGAGGCAGAGCCACTTGATCAAAGGACCCTATGTCAGAGGAACCAAACTGCTTATACTTGGACTGTTCATGAGACAGAAATAAACTTCTGCCAAATGTAAGCCATGTAAATTTTGAGCCTCTGTTACAGCATTTGGACCCAGAGCCTACCTAATATAGAAGCTAACACAGAAAAAGAAAAAGGCTGGGATGAAGAATGGAAGAAACCCAGTGCTAGTGCCATATCTAAGTTCCTGAATCCAGCCATGCCCGAAGGCTTCTACTTTACAGATAAGTAAAATTTACTAAATTCTATGTGTTTTAAATAAATTCCATTTGTATTTAAAATAGTTGGCTTCATTTTCTTTCATTTACTACTGACAATGCTCAGTGATACTGTCATGATTCAGGGAATCTCTGGTGACATGGAATAGATTTTCCTCCTACCACAGCCCTCACTAGGATGTAGCATTGTTTTTTTGTTTTGGTGGTTTTTTTGGTACTGGAGATCGAACTGGGACCTTGTGCTTTCGAGGCAGGTGGCGGCAGATATAGCATTGTTGTGGAAGCAGCCACAGTGGTCCTGAGACACAATCTGTGCCATCAGAAGTGAGATTGGGGTCACGTGCACACTGAGTGGGATTAGCAGGAAGAATACAGTCCCCCTCACAAGCTCATGCATAAGTGCTATAGTGACATCGAAGTGGGCAGGTCAGGTGAAGTAGTGACATTGGGATGGCAAGGTCAGTGCTGTAGGCAGATGGCAAAAGTGAGTACTCAGATTTCCCTTTCCAGCCTAGTCTGGTGGCATAAACCTGTAATCCCAGCACTCTGGAAGGCTGAGGCAGGAGGATTATAAGTTTGAGCCTAGGCTGGGCAACTTAGTGACTTAGACTCTATCTCAAAAAAAATAAATAAATACAGGCTGGGGATGTAGCTCAGTGTGAAGGCCCTGGGTTAAATCCCCAGTATCCTCCCAGCAAGATTTCCCTTTCTAATCCTATTGCCTTCTGCCCCTAGTCAGGCTAGCTCCCCTTAATATCTTCCCACTTCTCTATTTTTCCAGTTCCCTGTCTTGAATTCTCATACTATACACTCTTCTCAGTCGGTTCCACCTATGTTAGGAATTCTGCCCTGACCCTGATCAGGGGAGGGACTTCTTGCTACCAACTCATAACCATCCCTGGATGCATTCCAGACCCAGCCAGGACATTCATCATAAAGTTTTGAGGCCTCCTGAAAGGTTGTGAAGGCATCATAGAGGCCAAAGTGCTGGCTGTGGGATGACATATATTCCGTAGCTGTGTCCTAAGGATAGGCTTGGGCCGGGGATTTAGCTCAGTGGTTCCGCTGCTTGCCTCCCAAGCGCAAGGACCCGAGTTTGATCCTGATACCAAAAAAATTCCAAAAACTAAGGATAGGCTTAGGGCTGGTATGACCCAGGCAGTGGCCAAAGGGGTTGTTTGGTGTAGGGGACAGGGGAAGGGGATGTTACCAGAACCTCTGCAGTGAGTCCTGGTCTCCTGTGAGCCATGGCAGCACACGGCAAATTACAGGAAAGGTAGAAAAATGAGACTGAGAAGAAGCTGAGCTTTGGGTCTGATCAGTGCTGCTCAGGGCAGCAAAGACAAAGCCCCCAGCTTACCACACCTTTTATTCAGTACATCAGGAGAAACAAATGTAACAAATGACTTGCAGAGAGTTCAACAGTTCACATTGGGATAAACAAGGTGTAACTGAAGGCTTGCAGAGAGTTCAGTACATCTCCGGCAAACAAGATGTTAATCAGTCCAAGAACAATGAGGAACTGAGCAGATGTTTGTTCCTCCCAGGGTGTTTTCAACTCCCAGGATGTTTCTTGTCCTGGAGAATCACAGCATCACTGGATCACTGAAGTCTCAGTTGTGACCATAGGCCAAACTGGAGTTATTCTGTAGCTGGGCTGTAGGCAAGAGAACTAGGCTAACCAAATGATTTTTCCCTGAAATTATGTAGCATTGCTCCTGACAGTTTGGTACCTGTAGAAGTCTACACAGCTTGGGAGCCTGGAAGTTT